TCCTGCCAGGCCAGTGAAACCTGAGCAGTTCTCTCCTTCCCAGAAGGAATGTTCCTTAGGAGTGGCACAGTTCTTCCTGGAGCAGCCCTGGAGGGGCTACTCTAATTTGCCTCTGACATGTTTCCAACCCTTACACCATCACCTACGTTCCCCATTACATCTCCCATCTTTGGTGATTGGCCATCCTTTCCAGCCTCAAAGCATAACTCCTCCAACTTAGTTGCAAGATAGTCCCTTGTTACATCTGGAGGTCAGAGATCCTGTCATATCCACTTTGAGGTCCCTGGAACTCAGCAGGCTCAGTTGTGCTTGAACAGATTCACGGGGCCGGAATGAATGACCCCTCATTTTTACCAACTCCTTCTCTCCAGGGATTCTGAAAGGCTGTCTCTGTTCCTTACCTTCTCCCAGGCTTCTCTCTACACCAGGAGCACTCACTTTTGGAGCTCCCAGATAGCCTACCACCCCCTCCCCCTCTCCCCTCTCCCCTCGGAAGTCCTCCCAAGGCCAGAGAACCTGCAACTTCTCCAATCACAATGGGCAAAATCCTCCTGCTGGCCTATCTAATCCATGCTGAGGTTTGCTCATTCTGTCTCCAGGCAGGAACAGACTGTGGCCATGAGAGTGTGCAGGCCTTCTCTGGGGGGAGGGGGAAGGGGGCTGAGCAGTGACAGGGGTAACCCGAAGCCACACATGTGGTTTGTTCAATCCAGACCGCTGTCTCTGGCTGCTCCTTTCCTGCCTGCCTCAATGTTCCCTCGACCCGGAGCCTTCTATTGGTTAACATAACTTACTTAGATCCTCAGGTGTGACTCACAGCTCCCTCACACTGAGATTGGGAGCTCCTTTTGGATAATTCACTCATGCTCTCATAGGACCTAGCACAGTGCAATGCCCCCCAAATGCTTGGTGACTGAGAACTTCGGCTCAGTCCGATTTGCCCTGTGATAGGGCCCCAGCTTAGATCCAGCCCCATTGAAGAAAGAGGGGGGAGTTTCAAGTCAAATTAATACTTGAGCAAGGCGGGAGTTAGGTTCTCTCTAGTTGGTTTATGCCCTCTAGGAAAGGCCAGGAGAAGCCTGTCCAACAGAAGTCAGAGTCTAGAGTGAGCCTCCTTACCGAGGAGGCTGCCCTTGCAAGAAGCCTGGGCTCAGAGGTGTGAGGAAGCTTGGATGTCTTCAGGTGCAGGCGGAGCAGGATGGCTTCCTGGGGACGTGGGAAAAACTAGCTGTGGCCCAATTCCTTGGGAACCCTGGTTCAGCTCTAGGGCTTGGTGGAAGTCGTTTCCCTTACTCCCTACCCCCCTCCCACCCTCAAGAGAGAGCTCACATTCAGAAATGGAAGGCCAAGCAGGGAAGGTGCCCAACTGCCATAGAGCCGAATGGGGACACAGTGTGGCATCTGGGGCGGGTGGGGGTGGGGTGGGGACACCAATTTGAATAAAAAAAATGTCTCCCACTTTGCAACACAAGGCCAAATGATTAGCACCCGGGGAAAAACATGAGCCAGCGGTTTGCAACAAAGCTGGCGGGCACCTGGAATGTTGATCCTGAGGATCATGTTCCAGAGGGGAGGCACCCCTCCCTGGGCCCGGCTGGTGCTCAGTGCGGCTATTTCAGGCTGGGGGGATTAAGGTTGGACCATGACGAATGTGAACCATTGTGTGTGTGTGCGCGCGTGCACACACACACACCCCCCACCACGGGCACACCCTGACACACACACACACACAGATGCCCCAGACACTCTTTTTCTCTCTTCTCTCCCATACTGGCCCCCATGCCCTGATCCCCAGGCCAGCCTCCTGCACCCAAAGTCTCTTGGCAGCTGAGGCCTCTCCTTCCCCAGGAAGGCCCAGCCAGCCCCGCACCCCCCAGCTCAGGGAGAGTGACAGGAGCCTGCCCTGGGAATGTGGACAGCACGTGGTGTGTCCTACGCACCCTCCCTCCTCCACACACCTGGCTTCGCACTGACCCCGAACCTGCCCAGCCTGTCCCTTCATCCCCCAGCCCTCAGCTTCTGCCATTCCTTTTCTCTCTCTTTTCCACCTGGGGTCTTCTCAGCCTCACTTCCCTTCCCTCTGCGGCCCTTCTCCTCCAGACCTTCATCCTTCCTCTGCCTCCCTCGAGTTGTCTTTCTTTGCCTTTATCTTTCTTCTGATTTCTCCTTCCCTCCTTTGGCTTCCTCTGGCCTCCCTTGATCTGTGTCCATCTGTCTCCTTGTCTCACTTCTTTACACAGATATTTACTGGCCGTCCACGCATCAGACCTTGGGTTAGCCTCCACCAGGCATGGGTTATAATTGTATATAAAATACTGTCTGTACTCAAAACACATCTGTTATCTAGGAGAAGAGAATAACACTTATACCAGCGACTCTGAGATAAAGTGACATAGGATATTTATATATAAGTGGCCCCCAGTGTTCCAGCACTTAGTTGGGAGAAAGAAAAGGCCTTTCTGGATGGGGCTTCAGAGAGGCCTCCAGGGGAGAGCAGCCTTGTTACTGTCCTTGGGAAGAGGCCGGGTTTGGTCCTGCAGAGCTGTGAAAGTGTCATCCGAGCAGACAGGCATGGGAGACTGTGGACCTGGGAGCACCTCGACTATCAGGCGAAAGGATGAGAAAACTCGGAGGACAATCAGAGCTTTTGAGCAGGAGAAGGACATGAACAGAGTCTTAGGACCGTAAGTCCAGCAGCAGAAGCTGAAGAGGCATGTGTAGGTGTGTTTGTGTTTGTGGTGTGCGTGTGCGCGTGCGTGTGTGTGCGTGTGTGCATGTGTGTGTGCGTGTGTGTGTGTGTGTGTGTGTGTGGAGGGCCGAGGGCTAGCCAGAGAGGACAGGCATGGCAGGTTAGGAATCCATGGCAGCAGCGTGTGTCTGATAATCTCATTTACCCACTGAAGTCTGAACCTAGTAGGTGGCGGCAAGGCAGAGGCAATGAAAGGGACAAGTTTGAGAAATTCCAAATAGGAACACCTTGCCAAGTGTCTTGTCTTCTTTTTCGAGCTTGTCTTTGTTTTTGCCCGATTGTCTGAGTTCCTCTTTCTAAGCAGATCAGAAGCCTTTCTGCGGTGGCCACCCCAGGGCCAGCTTGGCTGTCAGGCAGAGATCTGATATTTACAATGACGGGAATCAAAGTTCTCTCCTCTTTCCTCAAAGCTCAGAGGCCCCGAAGGCTGGGATCTCCCAGGAGGACTGACTTTTGCAGGCAGCGACTCCACGCCCTGGCTCACCCAGAGCCCGTGTTATCCTTCTCTGCCAACCCCGCGTCCCCAGTGGCCCTGCCTGCAGCAGACTGCCTTGTCTGCCCCAGGACCCCAACCTGGAGGGGGCCGCTGTGGCGGCTAAGCCCTCTGGCCCTCCACTCCTCCCCCACTACCCTGGTACAGCTCCAGTGTCAGCCCTCGAGGTAGACTTGGAGAGCCCAGGAGGGGAAATCCAGAGCCTCTCCAAGGACCTGATTATTTCCAAAGACTTGTGCTAATTTTCTGATATGATCCTCACATCTCTGTGAGGCACTAAATCCTCATTACTTTTCCTGACCGATGCATTCTAATTAGATCAACACTTAAAAAAAATTCACAATAGCCACAGGATGGCTTTCCATCTCATTAACTCCTCACTTATTATTTTCATGAAAATTACTGATAAAAATGTGCATCTCCATTTGCTGAGGCCTCACAGCCTCCTCAGCTCCTATCTTGCATCTCTCCCGTCACCGGGCTGCGCAGCGTCGCCATGGTAACCCACAATAATAGAAACTAATAAATTACAAACGAGATGCTCGTTGAGCAATTATTGTCCTCTTTTATGCAAGTTTCTTGCTAATTTTGATCATAAGGGAAAGTACAATAAGACTCTGAAGGAATGAGTCTATTTCAAGAGAATATTAGCAAGCAGAAGCCTGGGCGGCTGTTTTTAGATCTGTAATAAAGTGAGTTGGTGATTTCAAGCAATGGGAAGAGGAAATAAACTTCTTGCCTCATGTCCCATGCAGTACTCACTGTTGAGTCCCAAAGAGATCCCTTTGGATTTGTGCAAGGTGGGGCTGGCCTTCTAGAAGGCCCCTGACCCTTCCCCTGCCTCTACAACCTGGAGGGATGGATGAAGTGTGCTGGTCCCTAAAGCTTAGAGATAAAAATGGCATCACCTTTCTTAGGCACTTTTTCCAGCACCCATCATTCTTAGAAAGTTTATCCTTTTCCCCAAGCCTGATTGTCTCATGAGAAGAGGTTACTGTAAGCCTCCTGGGGCCCTCCCTGTGTCTGTCCCAGACTCGGGAACTCAGTGGGAGGGAAGAAAGTGGTGAGCTGTGGCTTACGTAGATGTCGGTGAGCTTGGTGGAAAGGTATCACCAGGCAGCTTTCTTAGCTCCGTAGGGTTTGGGGAAAACATTCCGCCCTGGAGACAACAGCCCATTCTCATCCAGAACACATAGTTGCCATTTCTACGTTCCCCAGTTCCCCGGATGAAGGTGGGGGTGACTCTTGGGAGGGGGGTGACTGGAGGGGACATCCACAGTGGCCCTGAACCTTAGGAAGGCAGATGAGCCAGGGTAGGGTGAGCAACTGGAAGAAACTGATGCGGGAGAAGCAGTCGCATGGGAAGCTGTCCTCATCTATGAGGTGGGCAGGATTCAGGGAAGGACCAAACCCTCCTTCTCAAGAACACAGAGAGCTCAGCAAGCCCTCTCGAGAAGTGTTCGGGGCTAAGAGGTCGGGGTCCATTCCCGGCTCTGCCCCTGCCTCATCTCAACACTTACGTGCATATCTTAGGATATCTTGGGCCAGGAAGCCAGGAATCACTTTGGTCATTTTCTAAGGAATACCCATGCCCCAGTATGGTGAGTTCTGGTGCTGCCTGATGAACAGGAGTGGATCAGAGGAGGGCCCTCATGCTAAAAGTATACAGTGAGTCTAAGCTACATTCCTAGGCCACCAGGGGACCCTCAGACATTCCTACACCTGGCTTAGGAGATAAGACCCAGCCTTGTGTGTTACCTGTGAGTGAAGATTTATGGAGGGCTGATTGGGGGAGTAGGGTCCCCCGAGGTCATTCCTGAGCAAGTTATCGCTGTGCATCTTGGTTTTGAGGCAGGTGATGTACCGGTTACAAAAGTCCTTGCAGAGTTCATTGACTTTCTCCAATTCCAGCAGGTGAATTCTCAGGACCTGGATTGCCTTCACCATCTGAGGAGAGGAAGGGGAGGTGAGCCCAGGTGTTCGTATCACACTCCTCCTGCCACCTTGACCTCCTAAGCCCCAAGCCCACCAGGGGGGAGAAGCCCATGCCCTGCCTTAGGCATAAGCTTTCTCATCCACTGGATTTAAATTTAAATCCTATTATTTCATATGTGTCCTCCTTAAATTCTAGTTATGGTTTGCATGCTTTTAGCCCACTGTTAACACAACCACTCTAGAGTAAATGGTATTTGGAGAACCATCGAGCTAAAAGCCAGGTCTCTGGCCCTGACCCTGCCAGTCTTATCTGGGGGACCTCGGGCAACTGGTCTGCATCTTGTTGTCGGAAAAGTGGGGATAATTATGCTCTCCTTAACAACCTTCTAGGTTTGTGGAAAGGATTGTAGAGGGAACGTAGAAGCTGCAAAGTGTGGAGCGCTGAGCAGGCACTAGGAAGACGGAGATCGGAGCTCTTGTGGGTGCCTCCAGAAGTCAGGGACTGTCTACGTTCTTAAGCATGTATTCTGAGGGCAGGTCACCTTGCAGATGCCCCATTGATACTTGCTGACTGACGGGATCATCCCGCATGACTTAGCTGGGCTCTGAACACCGAGCTGTCCTGTGCCCTTTGGATTGTTGGACGTGACTGTCCCTCTTCAGATGGACACTCCCCACCCTTCATGGCAAGAGGCTAGTTCTCAGTTGGAGCTTTTCTCTTTATCATGGTTATTATTAGAACAAGACAATTGCTACCGGCGGTTTGGAAGTCAAGGAGGAAAATAACTGCCCTTGACCCAATCACCCTAAAAGAACGATGATTTTTTTTTTTTTGTCTTTTCCACAGGCATCTATTTTAACATTGCTTTAGTCACTTTGTGCTTACAACTTTGTTTCCTGTTTTCCCCTTAGTTTACCAAATGTATTTTTCTATACAGCAGCACCATCTTCTCTATTGTCACTTCCAGCCTGCGAGCTTCTAGAAGAGAGAGAGGGTGTCTGATTTGCTCACCATGTTATCCTTGGCACCAACACTCTGGACACTGAATAAATATTTGTTGAATGGGTAAAAATTATTCAGTAAATATATTTTTAATTGTTGCCTATTATTTCATGTGTGTCCTCCTTAACCAATCCCTCATTGTTGGGCATTTAGGCTATTTCTAATTTTTCAATTTTATAAAAAATGTTACAGTGACTGTTTTCCAAGCTTCCTGCTTTGAGTCATGTGTCTGCATTATTTCCTCAGGGTGAATTCCCAGAAGTGACAGGAGAAAAAGCTATGGACATTCTTTTGGCTCATGATAAATACTGCCAAATGGCTTTTCAAAAAAGGTTGTTCAAATGATGCTCGAGCACTCAGACATCCACAAGGAAAAAAAGCAAACCTTGCTTTAAGTCTTATATAAAAATTAACTCAATTGGACCAAAGACCTAAATGTAAGATATAAAACTATAAAACTTTTAGAACAAAAATGCAGGAGAAAATCACGAGTTCCTAAGAGTGGGCAAAGAGGTCCACACAAGCTTGACTCAGAAAAGGAAAAACTGATAAATTAGAACTCATCAATATTTAAAATGTTTGCTCTTCAGAAGAACCTGTGAAAAAGATGAGAAGGCAAACTATAGACTGGAAGAAAATACTTGCAAACCATATATCTGACAAAGGAATTCTTTCTAGAATATATAAAGAGCTCTCAGAACTAAACAGTAAAATAGCAAGCAATCCAATTAGAACAGGGGAAAAAGACAACATCGGACATTTCACTGAAGAAGATACACAGATGGCAAGTAAGCACATGAGAAGATACTCATTTTCCTTAGCCATCAGGGAAATGCAAATTAAAACCACAACTAGATATCACTTACACATCTATCAGAATGGTTAAAATGAAAAATAGTGATAACACATCACTCGTACATTACTGGGGGATATGAAAAATTGTTCACCCACTCTGGAAAACAGTATAACAGGTTTTTTTAAAGCAAAACTACATAATTGCTTACCATACGCCCTGCAATTGTACTCTTGGGCATTTATCCCAGGGAAATAAAATATATGTTCACACAAAAACAGTATGTGAATGTTCAAAGCAGCCTTATTTCTAACAGCCCCAAACCGGAAACAACCAAAATATACTTCACCAGGTGAGTGGGTAAAGACACTGTGGTACGTCCATGTCATGGACGACTACTTAGCAACAAAAAGGAACAAACTGTTGATACACTCAACAACTTGGATGGATTTCAAAGGAATAATTATGCTGAGGGAAAAAAAGCCAATCTCAAAAGGTTACATACTGTATGATGCCATTTATCTAACATTCTTGAAATGACAACATTATGGAGATGAAGAACAGATTGGTGGTGGCCCCGGGGTGCAGAGGGAGGAACTGTTCTGTCTCTCAACTGTCAGAGTTTACATGAATCTCTATCTGTGATAAAATGGCACAAATGTAAACACACACACGAGTGCATGTAAAATGGCGTCATCTGAGTAAGATTGGTGGATTGCATCATTGTCGATTTCCTGGTTGTGAAACTATATGCATTATGCAAGAGGGGAATCAGAACTCCTTTGTATTAGTTCCTAGAACTCTGTGTGAATCTATAATTACATTGAAATGAAAAAAAAAGAAAAGGTAGGGCTTGTTGCCCTTTGAGACCCACTGATGTCGACATAAGCAGTACACAGGGTCCCTGTTTAATCCTACCCTCCTAACTGCTGGCTAGCATCTTGATGCCTAGGAAACAAGGCAGGGAATCTCTCCCAGAGAATTCTGACAGTCGGGCGTGAGCAGAGCGGTGTGGCTGGACACCAGTGCCATGCTCCTCTCTGAGCTTCACTGGCATTTCTAGTGGGGAACGATTGAGTAGTCCCTGGGTTAGCTTTTGGATTGCCTGATGGGCAGGAACAGTGCTTAACTAATTAAGGACTCTTGGAATACTGACACTAAGTGTCACTCAAAGATAGAGACGAACAATTTTGTGTCTTCATGCAGGGCTCAATCCAAGGGTCTTATCCTAAGGGAGTGCTCCCTCCATGGGGCTGAGACCAAAAGAGACTGTGCTCTACCAGGCAAAGAAGAGAATTGTGACTTTAGAATGGTTTATTTGGTACTGAAGGAACATTTGCTCTCAATTTTCTACTTGACTTTGGTCATGGATATCTTGGTTTCTGTCTTTCAGAATAATCAGCACCATACAAAGCATTTAATAAATGCTCACTGATTGCTTGATAACAATCCCCAAACATGTCTTATTCTTACTATGTCTCAGGCACTGTGTTAAACTTTCCACATGCCTTACCTTATTTATACCCCACAACCACCTCTGCAAGGAGGCACCATGATTGCCCATATTTTACAGTTGAAGAAAATGAAGCCCAGAGATATTAAGTTTCACTTGTTTAGAGTCACATGGCTGACAACGATAACACTAGGCTATGAAGCCCCATGGCCTATGTTGTTCCCAAGACAGGCTCTTGAGATTTGTGTAGATGGAGAAAAGCAGTTTGAAGGGTGCATGATTTGGGGGGGGCGTGGCTCAGTGATGGGAAGCATAGGGTTCTAGGAAGACCAAATAGCTTTGGGGACATTAAAGTTTAGGATTTCCAGAGCCCTCCCTGGTAACCTTCTCTCATTCGGCTGCTCTGGTTTCTCATCTCTCATTCCTGGCCTCGCCCACAGGAGTCAGAATACCTCGCCGATGTAGGTGTCTGCCTCCTCCGGGGTAAAAGGAGAGGATTGGACTGTCAGGTGCTTTCCATTTTCTGATTCCCTGAATGTTATCAGGACTTGTGCCCTCGGTTCACTGACGGGCCTGGGAGGGGCCCTGGGAGATGATCTGGGCTGGCATCTAGGTGAGTGGATGGTCCAAACTCTCTTAAGATACATGGCTGCTCTCTTCTGAGGCTCTCCCAGCCAGAACCTTCACTTCAGACTGTCTCTATTTCTCTCAGCCTGCTGATGAAGAAGTTCTTCCTTATATGTACAAAATCTCTCCTTCCTGAATATGAAGCGCTTACCCAGCCTTCTGCAGGCACCAAGAACACCTAGTGCCTCCATCAATATAACCGCCCTTAATTTGTTGTTATCCATTCAACACAAATATGGAGTCTCACTCTATGCCATACATGGGACAAGGCATCTGACTTGAATAAATTATCCAACTGGCTTTGTCTCCTCCAGACAAAACATCCTAACTCCTTAAACCTTTTCCTTTTCCCTCTCTGCCTCCCTCCCTCCCTCCCTTCTTTCCTCCCTTTCTTATTTCTTTCCTTCCTTCCTTCCTTCCACCCTGTCTCCCTCTCTCCCTCCTTTTCTTCCTTCCTTCCTTCCACCCTCTTATTTCTTTCCTTCCTTCCTTCTACCCTGTCTCCCTCTCTCCCTCCCTTTCTTCCTTCCTTCCTTCCACCCTCTCTCCCTCCCTCCCTTCCTTCCTTCCCTTCTTCCATTTCTTCTTTCCTTTGGTCTCTGAGCTTTCCTTTACTGCACTATTCTTCTTTTTTAATCAAAATTTCATTTACTCATTTGGTTAATTTAAATCTACATACATGCATCCACCACACAGAAAGGTGTATATATCTATTCATTTATTTTAAAAACATAGCCAATAAATACTTATTATTAAAAAAGAACCAGAAAGTACAAACAGAGAAGATAAAATACAAAGTAAAATGTACTCAGAATGGTTTTGTTCAAATAAAATACACAGGGAGCTTACACCAGATCTGGTGCCCAGTGGCCAAAAGTGGACCTACTTTTTGGTCTAACAAAGCACAGTTGAAGGATGACTTTTATATGGGATAATAGGCTTGGTTTAAAGATTTAAGAAGGTAGAGTAAACATAATGGTATTCCGAGGCAATGAATATGGAGGACCTATTCAATATTACAGAAAGAGATGGGCCGTACCATTAGTGGGGGTGGCTATTAGGCAGAGTAGCAAGTCTGTGAGGGATGTTGTCAGACAACCTGAATCCAGGTCTACTGTTTACAAAATTAGGTGTTATTGGGCCAAGTCCATGACTTCTGTGAGCCTCAACTTCCTCATTTGGAAAATGGGGATAATGATCATCCCTTGCTTGCAAGAGTTGATGAGGCTAAAGGCGATAATGATGTGAAATATCTTAGAAACCACAGGGAAGCAAATGGGTACAATTTTTAAATCTCTTTTAATAATTTCTAATATCCTGTTGGCTTTTCTATTGCTATTCCATATTCAGTGAGTAGAAAAAGAAGCATTCCCAGTGTTTTTCCTCCTGTATTTATGTTTAGTAAATCATTCTCTATCCTATGTGTTTGCAATTTCGGGTTTTTGCTTCTAAATCAGAATAAAACTCTGATTTATTAAACTATTTTTCTAAGTGATCAATGTCATATAAAAAGTTATTTCAAACCTTCTAGAGCAATAACAATTCCATTTAATTTAATATCATCATCAAACGTGATGAATGTGTTCTCAATCTTTTCCCCCAAGTCTTGCTTCACCTCCAGCTTCTCTTTCTCCCTTGTACTTTCAAAATAAAGAAACAGTCCCTTTCTTCTGAGAAGTATCCTTTAAAAAAAGCAAAACAAGATGCGACCTTACCTTTTAGTCTCACACCACTGCACACTAGCCCCTCACCGGTCCCGGGAGAGTACACAGGACTGGGGCTTCTAGCTGGCTATGAAGTCGCATGGTGTGATGTCCCAAATCTATTATTTCCTGCCTGCTGATTTTGGACAAGCAGTTTTACTTTATCTGTAAAATTTAGGATAATAATACCTACCCGGTAGAGTGGGTATGAAAATTGAATAAGACAATGTATGCAAAAGTTCTGGGCACACAGTAGCTATTTGATAAATGTCCATTCTTTATGCCAACCCTCTCCCCCACCCCACTACCACCAAGTTCCTTTCTAAAAAGTGGCCTCCTGTAGGATTGTGGCTTCTGCCCTTGATGGTCATAAATCCTTGCCTTCCAAAACACTTATATATGTATATATACACACCACTTTGTGATTTGCAACATGCTTTTCTCATCATTATCTCATTTGAGTCTCACAACCACAGAGACACAGGGGCAATATGTTC